TGTGTGTGTGTGTTTGTGAGATGGATTTAAAAAAATAAAAACATCCTGGAATGGACACAAGACAGGGGAAGGACAACAGGAAGAGGAAAGGTGGAAGAAGAAGAAAAATAGAAGGGTTGCAGTCACGCAGACAGGCAGCACGAGCTCTCAGACGTGTCTGACATACCTATTTAAACTAACAGCAGGGGGTGCAGATTGCGGCTGCGGGGCACAATGGTGTGTGTGTGTGTGCGCGCATGTGTGTGTGTGTGTGCACAGAAGGGGAAAGGAGAGGTAAAATTACATAGTGGGGCCAGCAGGCAGGACACCCGCTCGAAGTACACTCATTTTCTCATCTCACACATTGGGCAACCTGCTGCTCCTCAGGAAACAAATAATGGCTTAGTCATAACACCTCGCTAACACACCAAAGAGCTTCTCCCTAGAAATAGCAGTGATTTTACCACTGAAAAACATGCCCACCTCCCTATACAATTTATGTCAGATTGTACAAATGGTCGGCCAAAAGAGTTGGGGTGAGTCCAAATTAGCCCCCTACCTCCTCACTCCCACACCCAATGCAGTTAGTTGGTTAGTGAAACCGGACATGGCACTATATGATATAGCACTGCAGGGCTTTAGCATTTTCTAAGCCTATACAGTATGTAATAACAGCTTTTGGCAGATGCACAAGTGCATACACATACAGTATAATATCATTAACAAACCACAGATTTATATACTTTACGTAAATCTCATTTTGGAATATTCTTTATCACAAGACCTCTGCCATCATTACATTTACATAATTTTATTAAGCAGCGCCCTTTCATTGCTGCTGAACATTTTCTCGAGTCGTTTCAACTGTAGAATTTGCACAACTGGCACTGTAAGCAGCTGACGAATCAAAGGAAAATGAATATCTAACCTCATTAAAAGGCCATTATGAAGAGCAATGCATCATTTAGGTTCTTGGTTTTAATTGACAATTAAAATATATAAGTTAATGTATCCATTAAGGTAATTGATCAGCACAAGGCTGATTTTTCTGTTAGCTACAACCCCATTAGAGGCTATTTATCATGCATATTTAATAGCTTCTCTATATTGCCTCAGATGCAGTACTTTCTCAAGTTATTTTTCTGTAATTATAAAATGCCAGTAGAAAGTCTCTGTCTATAAAATCTCTCTGTTGACTCTTTTGTTAAAGGATAGATTCCCGTGATACAATGTTAGGAGGGACAGTATTAAGCAATACGCTTATTTTTGAATTCTATTCAACAGCATTTTTTTATAACCTTATGTCAAGTTTTATGACTGTATTATTGTTCAGCAGCAGTGAAGCAACTTTGATAGATGACGTGCCACTGAAAATTACTTTCACAGTAAGATTTAATCTTGAAGACCATTTATATGTATATCATGTTTTGCTTCATCTTTACTTGTATAGTTCTGTCTGGTGTTCTAATAATGTTCAGCAACCTGAGTTGGTTTTGCCTTCCAACAAGAACCCATGCTAGGTTAAATGATGCTGAGCTATTCTAAACTGCATTTAAACTGTGCTTAACCGCAGTGTGTTGAGCCGGAACAGAGCACCGTGATGGTGTGATTCAAATGCAGACAGCATGCAGGGTTGATCCTGCTGGGGAGTATTGAGGTGAACAGGGCAGGTGTTGTGACAGGCTGAAGCCAACCACACTGCCTGCCTGCTGCCTCTGCATGCATATTGTAGGTCACAGATGGAGAAGTGCTTAGTAATACCTTGCCTATATGATTGCGTGTGCGTATATTTGATAAAAGCTGGAAATAGACTCTATACTTCATCTTTTCAGTGTAGACATTCACTAAATGGTTTAGGAACGACAATACCCCCCTCCACACACAAACAATGATGCATTCACTGGTTAGCTGCCAGCCACCCCACTCTGCACTGTCCTGCTGCGAGGACATACTTTACTGCTTGTGTTTGTTTCTGTGTGCCTCTTTGATTGAGTGATTATGTGTTTACTTGTATGTGTTTGCACATGTGTGTACATCTGTGTGATGCGTTGGCGTTTCGTCTCCCACCCATCCGTGCACATTCCAGGCAGCCAGGCAGTCTGCCGGTGGCTCCCTGCTGTTAGCTGCTCTGTAGCAGGCTGGAAATGGTAGGTGGAATCCCCTCCTGGAGCTTTCCTGATGCTGCAGGCAGATGTCTCCCTCTGTCTCCCCCTCATCTCCACGCTCACCTGGGGACTGATGCCAGCCAGCGAGCCTCGCTCCCACCCTCTTCCCTCCAACCCCCGAGGCCCTCAGCCTTGCCAAAGAGGGAGTGAAGAAGAGAGCGAGGGCGGGCAGATATGCCAGTACCAGCCTAAGCTCCCCATGCATACAACAACACAACACAACACACTCAATGAAAGTGCATACACACAAACGTACATAAACACTTCATTTACATATAGCTGAATACCACATTCATCAGGCCTGTAATCAAAGTAAATACATTATTACATTTGTTGCAAGACTGTAATCCATTGCATGCCTGCACTTGCAGTACTAACTTGTATGCATGCCAACACACACAGACACACACACACATATTGACACTCAACCTACACTGAGGCTATCCCGTCACACAGTGTCCATGGCTGCCGGTTTAGCCCCATTTGGCTGCCTGGACTACTCCATGAGTGCTAAGATTCTCGGTACCATTAAGCACCAGCCAGCCCATCTCAATTGCCCTGCATGAGTGCTCTTCGCCAGCACACTTAATTTTCAGCTAACCTTCTGCTGGCTGCGCTTGTCGAACCTCACATTTCTTGTTGAAGATGAGGGAGAAGGGTGAGGAAGGTGATGGGAAAGTGGGAGGCGAGGGTGGGAGAGATGGTGAACACAGGAGAGGAGTTTTGCAAGCAGGAGGCTCTCAGCTGTTGCACCCATCTGGATTTCAGTGTAAATTGAATACATGCACCTTTGACCAGTTACAGTTTAAAATTGTGGCTATTTAACATATTTATATGAGTAAATATATTTATCTGCATACTGCACACTGCAAGGTAATTTAGAATTTTGTTTACGCCACATCTTGGTTTATTGGCAAGCTAAATCGAAATGTGTGTTTTATTTCAATTAATTGCTTTTGCCACGTGTTTTCTGTCTTTATTATTTGTAGTCTCTTTTGTGGGTACACTGTTTGATAAAGAAGAGACTCCACAAAGAATGATTTTGTAAGTTATATTTGAACGGACAAATTTAACACCTGATGTCAGCTGAGAGTCAGGGAGGAGGAGGAGAGGGAAGAGAGGAGGGTTAGTTATAAATAGCAGTAGTCTCTTCAGGATGGCAGGTTTTTAATTAACAATAGAGAGTGTCTGATAATCCACAGTTAATCCAGAGGAGAAGAGGGAGGAGAGGAGAGAAGAAGAGAAAATCATCAGCTGTTTGATGTTAGGACTACAAGTCCCTCCTGGCCCTTCCACTGCTGACTGCTGAGCTGTTCTGCGCTGTGATATCCATAGCCCAAATGTATTTATTTTGTGAAACAGCCATGCTCCATATTTTGTGATTCACTTTGTCTCTGACTAACCGCTGTCTGTTCCCATTAGCGTGAATGTGTGCATGCCGTTCCTCTTAAACTGACTGGGATTCTTTGTGCTTCTGTGTGGTGTTAGTGGAGAGTGGCTGTTTGTTGAAAACTAGCCGACTGGAGGCCCTGATGGCTGAAGGCGTCCTCTTAAAGTCCTACGCCTGTTGAAAGGCTTGATCTGTCGGAGAAACACTGGGAGATGTCAGGCCTGCTTCACACTCAAAGGGAGTCTGCTATCTAAGACACTTTGAGCTTAGAGGGAAATGGGGGTGGTATTTTTTTTCTCTCTTTTTGCACAGCTGAAAAGACAGTAACAAATATGTTGTTTGTACTTACTGTGATACTTTATTTGTTGGGGCATTTCAGGGAGAATTTGAGGGCAATTTATGACATACTCTAGGTATTCAGTCATTGACACCTCTGTCTTGAACAACTTAAAATAAATGCATCAGTAGAATAAATTCCCTCAAGCTCCGAGATCACCAATATACCAAGCAACCAATAACAAGGAGTGCAAGGATCAGAGTGTAGACACATTACCTATTTAAATTCATCATTGTGACATGACATATCAGCCAGAGATGTTGTTTATTTACCTGTTAATTTATTTATTTTACCGTTATTAGACCAGGATTATCTCTTGAATGATAATTTGCTGATCTTTAATTGTAACTATTAATTGAACAGAAAAGTGAAAATACTCCCTTAAAGGGGACAAAGACCTGGATAGAGGCTGTCTCATTCATCACATGTAGAGAACAAATCTGCAGGGTTATGGCAACAGAGCAGGCTTCATATGACACATGGTTGACAAAAGTCACACCAAGACTCTTGGTGCTCCGGGCAGTAGTCACTGTGATCTTGTCTGTAGTGATGAAGAGATGTTGTAAAGGATTTTCCAGGAAAAGATGTATGATGTCCAAGAAGATGTCTATGGATTGTATCTTTTCCACTGGCACTGGAGATCAAGTGTTTATCCTACTCTTCTAATAAAGAGGGGTCTCTCCGTATAAATTAAGATGTTTCCCTGTTGTCAGTGAGCAAATTGAAGAAACAAAAGTATTGAATGGAGATAACATTTTAAAAGCTTTTCTTTCCTTTTTCCTGGCATTGCAGGACAGAGTCTGGGCTACGGCTTTGTCAACTACATCGACCCAAAGGACGCAGAGAAAGCCATCAACACGTTAAATGGACTCAGACTTCAGACCAAAACGATCAAGGTAACAGACACCATGTACAGCTACACGGGTATAATTATATACATATATAATACAAATACATAGTATTTTTCATGAACAACTAAACATTTAAAAGGCATCACTGCAAAACATTAAAAAAAACACTTGCTAGTTATGATTAATAAAATCACAATGATTTTATAAAGTTGTGGACGTCATGGTAAACTTTAACTATAAGGCTGCTTTCTTCTTTCTCAAAGCCCTTTTTAGATAGTGATGCTGTTAGTAAATGAGCTGGAGGGCAAGATGGGATTACCATGCATGAGCCTCAGAAATAAAAAGACCATCTAAATCAAAGAGACACATTAAAAAGCTTGTTACTATGGCTGATATGCTAATTACTTTCTAAATGTCAACATGTAAAGGTGAAATTATATATATATCTCGGAGTGAAAGGGAAGAAACACGTCAATCATCGCATGTTTTCCAAAATAATTGAGTGCTCTGTTATTGTATTTTAATGGCATGACTAATGTGCAGGCCTGTTGGTGGTTGTCACAGAGGTACGACAGATAAATCAGTGCCAGCACTGTGCTGTCCTCCCTCCAAACATGCTTTGAAGACTAAAAATTAAACCTTACAAGCAGTTGCTTTTGCATATGTTCAACATCATCATCTCAATCTTCTACTCAATCTCGTTCTCTCCTCTATCATATGGTCCCCTCTGCTCTGTGCCTGCTGATATATTGTTGCTTTAAGATGGGCAGTAATCTGTTGCTCTTTGGTAATCCCTGGATTCTCACTTTCTGTCATCTGCTCTAATGTAATCTAACCTAATCTATCAGGATGGAATTTGCCTGTTGTGGATGGGGAATCCCTGTGAGAATCCCTCCATTCCCGAGACAGTATGCTGCCTGATCTGGCCTTGGTTCAGCACAGCATCCTGGCTCTTGTCTAACTAATACCACAGAAAAAAAGGGAGAGAGAGTAATATGTGATAAGTGTGTGATGTGTGCACTTTCAGTTTTTTGAGGTGGGATCTGTGGTGGTTTGAGGTTTCAATGATGGGTGGATTTGTGTCTGTATTTGTATGTATAATTCGGTCATTGCCACCTACAGTTTCAGCGAAGCAGGGCTCTCACTGAGCAAAGATTAAAAGTGTTTGGATGAGCCAAAGGATAAAGACTTGCTGTGCATTACAGGAGCACTGCTCTTAATACATTTAACACAAAGCAAGTCAGCCAACATAGAGACTTATGTGATAATAGGCTTTTTCAATATAAAGACCGGAGAAAGTTGAAGGTCACTTGTGAAGTGTGAAATTCATGAGGTCTTTATTGAGTGTAGCAGTTTGAGTTCACAGATTTTCACTCTCACACTCTCATGACACAAGAGGTTGCCTCAAGTTGTTCCTGAGATAAAGGCAGTCTTCGTAATGACAGAAGACAACTCTGCATCTCTGTCTAGCGCTATCGCTCTTTCACACTTCATTTCCTCCCTCCCACTACCCACTTTCCTTGCTTTCTCTCTCTACAACAGACTGAAATACCCTAAAGGTAACAAGGTAAATTAAAAGGCAGCACGGTAATTCTAAAATTAAGTTTGGCGCTCTTTCATGTCACACCCTTCCCACTCTGCCACTAGTACACTTGTGAGGAAACGCTTGGCCGAGAGATTCACATGCTCTCGGGCGATGTCTCTCTGTAGTGTGTTTGAGTTGGTTTCACTGCTGCGGTTTCCTCCACCATGACACCTCAGATTTTGTCAGCGATGCTGCTTTCTTACTGAGGCGTGAGGGGGAGCAGTATGCCAAAGGTGAGAGAGGAGCTCACAGTGACATGCATGCACATAATCTCACACACTTTTTCTAACTTTACTGTGTGCGTACACACACACTGATTCACACTTGCACCACACCACACTTGTACACAATACCGCTCACAGCTTGAGGAGGTGTTGATGGATTAGACATCTGGAGTTGGCTGACAAGGAGAGAAAATGAGGGAGAGCTGCACAGAGAAGAAAAGACAGAAAAAAAGAGGCAGAATCTGGAAGAGAGAAAAAGGTTTAGTGAGGCAGCATGCAGGAAGGAAGTAGAAGGAGAAGATCCAGGCAACGAAAAGGAGATAGATGCAGAGAGGAAGTGAAAGACAGACGAGCTGAGCAGAGAGGCCAAAGAGAAAGATGTTTAAAAGAAAAGTGAGACATCGGAAAAGCCAGCTGTTCCCAATCCCATTCTCCCAATGTTGGAGTTCAGCAGGATTTCCTTGCTTTTGCTCAAGGATATGACTGCATACCCACCATATTTGCCTGACTTTAACCTTATTTGATGGCTTATGTCTCCACATGTCAGAGGTAATGAAAGTACTGCAAGGGAAAGCTGCTCCAGTCAGCAGCAGTAGTAATGGGATTTACGCAACTTTCACTGGAACAAAATCAGGTCTACACATGAGGATGTTGGGGACGTTTGACAAGTGAAAGTTCACTAGTAGAGAGCTACTGCTGGAAGCTGCATGGCACAGTATAACCAGCAATTCTCACAATTTGCACCATTAGAGATGACACAGTATATTCTAGCTAGAAGTATATGAATGACTGGAAAATAACATTGATAGCTGTGCGTGTGTGTGTATGCATGTTAATCGACGTCTTTGTAGATAAGTGTTTCTGTACGTGTGTGGAAATGAGGAGCAACCTGTGACAATGAGGAACTGGGTGGAATTGTGTGGGTGAGTGGTTGTAACATGAGAAAGGCTTTTTATTCCCTCTGTGAGATCGTTGACCAGGAGAGTGTTGCAAGGGTAAGAATGTAATGTTTACGTGTGTGTAAGAGTATGTATGGTTGCATGTGCTTTAACAGCAGACTATATGTAAGAAAAGTCAGAAGGGATACAGTATCATGACAACAAATTACTCCTAATGCTAATCTTTGAAAGATGCAGGACAGATGCAGACACAGTAGAGTATGCTTAAAAGTTTTTCACATATTGTATACCTACTTAATACAACTAAACAGTGAAATCCACTCTCGGGGGTTCACAAGGCTAAATGGCACTTGGTGAAAAGCTTAAAGGCTTTTGGTTACTTACTATTTAGGCTCTTGCTAATGTGTTAATTAAAAAGCAGACAAAAAAACTGCAAACACAACATATTAACTCTTACCTTTTTTATTCATTCACATTTGACTCGGAGGAGTGCTTGAAATCAATAGGGGGAATGAGGAGACTTTTTGGTCAAAGTCGTAATACTATTAATCTTGTTCCCCTGGCTACCAGAGCTGTCCTTTCAAAGTAAAACACCTGTGGTTTCTACTCAAGGGAACAAAGTTTCCTCTCCCTCCCCCAGCAAACGACTCAAGTGTTATTTCCCCAGTGTTCTAAGCAGCTAAATCTTTTCCTGACAACGATAATCCCCACGGCAAGGTGTACTAAGAAAATAAAGTCACATTTTCCTCCCAGTGGATCCAATGACCCACACCCTTACCCATCCAAAATACACACACACACACAATCCCTGTTCCTCTCACACTTTAATCTTGTTTAGATTTAAACCCCCCAGGATGTTAATGAGTTATAAAGTACTGGAGCACCAATTTATTTATACAAGCTCTAAGACTCTGTCTGTTCCCACAGGTGTCATATGCGCGACCCAGCTCAGCCTCTATCCGTGACGCCAACCTGTATGTGAGTGGCCTGCCCAAGACTATGACCCAGAAGGAGCTGGAGCAGCTCTTCTCCCAGTATGGACGCATCATCACCTCCCGCATCCTCGTCGACCAGGTCACAGGTATCCATGGGGCGCTTTCTCTTTACACTTTCACACAGACACACATGATCAGCCAGACACTCTCGAGCACACAGTAAAATGATGGTTTTTAAATATCTGTCTTTTGCGTGGTCATATGGTTATTATTACATCTGTAATATTAGGCCCAGTTGTGCTTCTCAAGTCATCACTGTTGTTAAATTTGAGATTTGTACTTTTTACATTTGATTCACAGATCTAAGTAACTGCTTTTAAGAAGGATAGATAAAATCACTTGCCGCAGTTGTGAGAGTATTTCCAGAATCCTTAAATAAATATTCTGTGTTCTGCACAATGCGGAAGACTTTTTTACCCTCAAGTAGCAACACATTTTCTTCAGCCAAACAAAGATGGCAGCTGGAAGTGACACATTTCTGTGCACTTGTCTCTGCTGAAACTGTAAAATAGTAAACTCAAGTGTAACAGTTAAGTAGGTCTCCC